TAGCGGATGTTAGCCGATCTATTGAGTAAAGACATGGCACCACATAAATTTAAGGACCACGTTGTAACTATAAAAATATTTTTCACCTTATAAATTTTTAGGGAAAATTATACGTTTAGTAACTAAACTATCAGTTTTGGTCCGTTTTAATACCTAAACATTTAATTTTTTTCTTCAAAATTATACCTAACGTTTAGTTTTTATTTCATTTTAGTACCCCATTAAAAACTTAACATTAAGTTTTGATTTTTTTTTGAAAGTTTAGGTAATAAAATGGACCAAAACCGATAGTTTAAGTATTAAGTGCGTTAAGTTTTTAACGGAGGTGTACTGAAATGAAACAAAAACTAAATGATAGGTATGATTTTGAAGAAAAAAATTGGATGTTCAAGTATTAAAACGGACCAAAACTAATAACTTAGGTACTAAACGCGTAATTTACCTGAATTTTTATTATAAGAAAAAATCATAATGAAACTTTATTAAGTTTGATATTTCTAGTATTTTATTTATACACACATTCATATGATTATTTCGAGAAAGGTCAATAGAGTTTAGTCTTGGAATAAACATTGAATTTATTCATTAAGAAATATGGACTAAAGCGTTGAGACACAATATATCGTAATATATGAAAAATACTATTCAAATTCAAACAAATATATATATATATATATATATATATATATATATATATATATATATATATATATATCTTCATGATTCATATATCATGTTTCAACTTTAATTTCTCATAGACAATACGAACAAAATAAGAGAATATTAAATACGTACAATAATAAACATTGAATAAGAGTATTCGTATGGAAGTGTTTTCTAACTTCCTCCCTCAACCCCACAACTTAAAGGTAATGGCCATGAGAAGTGAGGTAATGTTTTGTAGTTCTCGATGTTTGAAGTAATTTGTATAATAAAATTTGATATGGTTGTCAACGAAAAATACTACAACGCTCGACGAGTATCGATGAAAATCATTAACGATGAGCACAATTAATTTAATTTATAAAATTTAAATTCTAAAGGACTCATATATAATTATAAATTAGTAAAAAAATCAAAGGTAAATTATTTAAAATAAAGGGTAAATTATATCAGTGACCACCACTATTATCCCTTTTCATTTTGACCACCAATTTTAAAATTTTGTCAATCAGATCACTCAACTATTTAAATACATTCAATTAAGCCACTTGCCATTAATATTTAATGGAGAAACGGACGTGGTAAATATTTGATATAATTACAGATTTCGTCATTCAACAACAACAACAACAACAAAACCCAATTCCCATATGTATGGGGTAAGGGGGAGGTAGGGTAGTAGGCTGCCCCCAACGCCAGGTTGAGGATAGCTTCCGTGAAAGACCCGGCAGTCAGAAAATTAAAAATATAGATAAAATGCAATGCATGTATAAATAATTACATAAATACATAGCTAAACAGTATTCATATGCAGTCATTAATATCATATGTGCTTCTGTAATGGGGAGTAATCCCTGCAAAATAATCCCTGCGAAATAAATCTCTGCATATAGACAGAAACATAAGACCGGCTAAATTTAACAGAGGAAACATGACGAGAATGATACACAGAAGACAATTATAGCAAGCCCAGTTCTAATCTTTCATAAATACCAATAACAGAAAAGTATAAAAAGTAAAAGTCATGGAAATTACTACAAATGCATTTAAAAGAAGACAAAGATGATACACCCTATAGATGTGACCCACACTACTCGACTACCCTAGTCTTAAGCCTCCATAATTTCCTATCATAGGTCATGTCTTCGGTAAGGCCTAAATCCATCAAATCAGATCTCAAGCAGTCTTCCCACTTCCTCCTTGGTCGTCCTTTCCTTCTGGCACCGTCGACTGTAATCGACTCTACCCTCCTGACCGCATCCGACGGTAGTCGCCTAAGGACATGCCCAAACCACCGTAGTCTTCCCTCCCTCAATTTTTCGGAAACAGACACCACCCCTAAGGACATCCTAATAGCAGAGTTTGTCGTCATATCCCACAGAGTCCTACCACATGTTTTGTACTAATTTTAATTTATTAAAAATTAAATATTATATAAAATTATTAGATATATTTAAAAAAATTATAAAAATATTTTGAGAATAAATTATTGATTAAAGTATAAAAAATTAAAAAATTGATTTTAAGATATAATTTACAAAAAGAATTGCAGTGAAAATTCAAGTCAAATAAAATATAGGGTAAATTTTGTTGATTTTTAACAGTAGATGATCAAAATAAAATCAAAACCTAACATTAGTGAAGATTTTGAAAAACAAATAATTAGATAACCTAATATAACCAAAGTGATAGTTAAGTGATTAAATACATAATTAATCTTTTTTTATTGAGAAACTTTCTCTACTTGTGATAAAAAAGATTTTAAAATTCATATTAATTTGGAGTTAGTACAAGATGATATATATTCTAAGATAACTCTTAACCATTTGACTGCATCCCAGAATCCAGAAAATAAAATGATTTATAATGACAACTTTTTTATTGTTATATACTTCCTTTCTTTATCATTATCATAATCCATTGTTTTGTGAGAGTATGATTTCTAATAATTTTATAAAGTACAGAATGAACATATTACATTAAAGTAAATATAAAAGTTGTTGTTGAATCAATATTTATATGTTGAAAGATATAGTGCTTGAATTGATAACGACAAAGACAAGGTTGATGACTAAATAATACTCTATGTATATATCATTATTATATGTGATAGAATAAAATCAATTCTTTTTTGTTTTAATTTATTAAAATTAGGACCAAATTGATAGAATATATAAGAAACAATGACCAAATGTGTAATTATACCAAATATTTTAACTGTCACATGAGCTTTTCCGTTAAATGTTAAAGACAAGTGGCTTAATTGAATGTATTTAACTAGTTGAGTGACCCGATTGATAAAATTTTAAAACTGGTGGTCAAAATAAAAACTTGTCACTTATATAGTTTACCTTTTATTTTAAATAATTTACCTTTAATTTTTTAACTAATTTATAATACGTTGAACCCTTTAAAATTTTAAATTTTATAAATTAAATTAATAGTACTCATCGTACTCGTTGAGCGTATAAAAATCATCTTTTTTACAGTTCATAATTTCTAACAATTTACAACAGAAATGTCGGAACTTTTGAAATATTTACGATAAAAACCAGCAAAAGGCTATTAGTTAGTTAGTTAGTTTGTTTGTTTGTTTTTTACTGCCCTTTTCATGTGGGAAATTGATTAGGATTAGAGGGGATGTTTAAGGAAAAGCAGTCTAATATACGACTAAAGAAAAACGTTACAGAAAATGTTAATATTTTTTTAACATTTTCTGTAAAGTGCTACCTAAAACATTTTTTTATACCGGAAATGTTAATATTGGACGCTACCTAAAATGTTATTTCTTATACCGGAAATTAGGTAGCGAAATTAATATTTCTGGTAGAAAAAATAATGTTTTAGATAGCGTTTTACCAGAAATTTTTAAAAAATATTAACATTTCCGGTAGCGTCTTTCTTTAGTCGTATATTAGGCTGTCGTACAACATAACTATCCGAATTAGAGGTACCTTTTGATACTTTCTTCTTCAATGGAATTTATTTTGTACCCATTTCATCAATAATCAATGTAATATAATAATTGAATTAAGCTAGCTATTCATCAATACATTTTTTTCTCTTTCTTTTATTTTTTTATAAAAATTATATATATAATTTATTAATTAACTAATTCGGATCGAATACTATAGATGTTCAATATGTGAGCAATTTTCCTAATCTGAATTGCTTCATTCGTAAATGTTAAGATTTCGAACCTTAAATTTACTTAAAAGATCTAGATTTTTATCCTAATAGACCAACCATATATTTTGAGCTTAAATCGGCTCCAAAATTATTTAGCGAAAAAGGAGTGTCAGTAAATTATTTTGAGATTTATAATATTTTTTATAATATAGGAAAAACTCGTCATATTGAGGTAATGATTTTCATGTGATATTATTTTTATATTTGAATTCAATTATTTTAATATTTCTTATGAAACTCCCACTTCAAGGCATTGAGTTTCATTTAAATTTTTTCTATTTTTACTATAAATTTAATTTTTAAAAAAATGGAGCTCGTCACCTCGAAGATGAGTTCCATTGATGTAAAATATTAGACTTGTTTTTTTTTTATATTTGAAATGTCTAACACATTTCAAAACGTATCAATTTTTATATGGGGTAAACTACATGTTTAATATATAAACTACTAGTCTTGTTTTCGTTTGGTACCTAAATTTTTATTTATTTTAAAATTGTACCTAATGTTTACTTTTTATTTATTTTGGTACCTCGCTGTTAAAAGTTGAGCGAAACAATCGTGACATTTTTATGGGTAATCATTTATCACTCAACTATTTTCTCACTTCTATTTTGGCCATTGAAGTTTAATTTTGTGACATCATATTTTTATTATTAATTTATTAATATATAATTAAAATAAAAAATTAAATTTAATAACTTTCAAATTTCTCCTAATTTAATCACTTTAACTTTTAAATTTAATTTTAATAATGAGGTACCAAAATGAAATAAAAAATAAATGTTAAGTATAATTTTAAAACAAATAAAAATTTAAGTACAAAAAAAAAAACCAATCCAATAGTTTATATATTAAAATCTTATCTTATTGAACTAATCATATCGAGATGACGAGTTCCCGTAGAAAATGTCGCAATCCCAAAATAATTAGCTGACATCCTTTTTCCCTAAATAAATTTGGGGCCCACGATAATGGGGGCAAAAACCCTCAACCGATAGTTATTAATGGGCTTTGACCCATTACGAACCGGTTCAACAGTTGATCCGAAAATTAGTTTATTCCGGTCTATGAAACCACTTCCCTGTTTTCTCGATCAACTGTCAAAAATCACTCTCTCATATTTTCCTTTTAAATCTCTTTTTATTTCTTTTTCATTGTAAGCTGATCACCGGAATACTAACCGTAATGGACCCTTCCATAGTAAAGTTCTTTGAAGAAGATGAGGTCTCTCTTTCTTTTTGTTTTCTTTCTCTGCAATATTTATGTAATTCGCAATAACTTCAGGTTATTCATTATGCATTTTCTGTTTTCTTTTCATTTTTTAACTGATAATAGGACGAGTCTATGCATTCTGGAGCCGACGTTGAGGCGTTCCAGGCCGCCTTGAACCGAGATATTGAAGGCGATGCATCCACTTCTCAGCCACCCGATTCAAATGCCGGTATCATATTTTTTTTGGTTTTCATTTTTCTGTTGCAGTAATTTTGTTTCCAATTTGAAAGGCAGTGAATCTGAACCTGAATCTGGTTTCAGAAATAGTAACAATAGAATTAAATTTAGTAATCATGTATATTTTCAAATTTTTGTTTTCCTGAAATTTGGTTTCCAATCATATTTTTTGTGTGTCCTCGCATGTCCGATACTTTTTCTTTCGTGTTTGAGCCATACTTGATACTTGGATACTCCTCTAACAGAAGTGTCCATGCCTCGAGTGTAAAGATCCTAATTGAGAATGTCATTTGGCTTTCCTTTTATGTTAGTTCTAATTGTTGAATCGCTTTTACTGGGAAATTCCCGGATGATTTTTAAAGTGCAACAGTTTTGTCTCAAGGAAGCAATCCAGCTTCCAGTCAGTCACTTGCACAATGGCCAATAATGGGTCAAGAGGGGAACACCAACTTTCAAAATCAACAAGCTGTTCAAAAGGCACAGCAACAACAGCTGCGCTCGTCTGAAATGGAGCAAAAGCAACAGGGAGCTCTTGTTATGGGGAGTCTACAACAGCCAAATGATGCTCTGCAAGGAGTAAATCATCTAACACCTCAACAAAAACAACCCCAAGATCATCGCCAACTAGTAGCTGAACAAATTTCTGCTCAGGTTCCTCAAATAACTGGGATTCAGACTACTGAACGAAGTTCTATCCCACGTGAACAGGAGAGAGCCACTATTCAAGACAGTGAATCACAATATGCAAAATTACAGAAGATGAGTAATCAACAGGCCAGTGGCACGGAGCAGCCAAATAATCAAGTGAATCGAGGAAAACAGGTTCCATTTGCTGTTCTGTTGCCTTCCTTACTGCCCCAACTTGATAAAGACAGAGCAATGCAGCTTCACACTCTTTATGGTAAACTAAAGGTAGATTTCTAACCTCAATCCATTTGCTACAATTATACTGTTTCTTGAGTAATGGATGCAATAGCCAGGATGGATTTTGCCTTGTCTCTTATTCTGAATTTTCGGTTGTGTTTAACTGTTAGAAAAATGAAATTGCGAAAGATGGATTTGTCAGGCACATGAGAGATATTGTAGGGGACCAGACGTTGAGGTTGGCAGTTAATAAGTTGCAAGTGAAGGTGAGTACAAATGTGTTATGTATTAGAGTAAAATCTTATGCTTTAGTTAATCGTATGTTAATTTTGATAACAACCTAAAATTCATATCCATACTTCCAGATGAGCTCCAACCAAGTCCCACTACAGTCCCAGGTTACAGCACAGCCAAATACTCCACGCATGCCATCAGTTGGTGGCGCCACACAGTTTGGTGGTCCACATTCATTGGCTCAGCTGCACCAAAAAGGCCCTAATTCTCCTGCCAATTCATCTCATCCTCCCCCTCTTGCGGTCCTCATGCAGACTAATTCAAGTTATATATCCATTGAAAACAAGGTTCAAAAATCTCAGGAGATGGATCGGCAATCCGATTCTCGCTTTGGTGTGTTAGGAAGCCAAAATCCTTCCTCCAGTTCAACCTCTGTGAATCAAGAAAGAGATTGTGCTTCAATTCCAGTACAAGGAATTAACATGCAGCAGCAGCAGCCTCAACAACAACAACATTTGAATTTCACACAAACTTCTTTTGCTATGTACGGGAGTAGTAATTATCACACATACACTGGGTCAAACGTTAGTAATTCAGGTTCTTGTTTAAAGCGGCAACCTCATGATTCACAAATTAGTCAAATAGCACATAATCAAAGCCTGGGATCAAATTCTGTAGGAGGACCAACCCAGGCAATGAACATGATGAGTGGGCCTAAGCTTGAGAGGCAAAACTCGACTAATGACCCAAATAGATTGCAGGGTGGATCTATGTCTCACTTTTCTAGCAGTTCAGTTTCTTGGCAACCATCAAGTAAGGAGCTGAATCTGGGCCCTTTGTCAACTGAGACATACGTGAAGCAGGAATCTGTTGATCAAGGCGCGGGGGACCAGCATGGACCGTATTATTCTGCAGCTTCAGGATCATTTACCTCGATTCTTGAAGAGGGAAATGCAGTTACGGCTACTCCCAAGGATGAGTTTTTAGAGAAGCAGTCTTCTAGAATTGGCTTCTCAACGCCTACTAGTGTGGTTTCTCCTTCCATCCCGACACAAATGGATTCTAATGTCCCAGTAATTCATCTTAGTCCGTGTTTTATTGTTGTGATATATTGAACTATGGTTGTGGATGCTTTTGCTGATTCCTATTAGAACCACCTGTCTAAATGTTTACATGAAAATTTATTCATTAAATATCTTCCATCTAAGAATGATACTTTGTTTAATTATGAAGTTCGCATGTGATTGAATTGCTAGGGATAACCGATATGATGTCAGGATTGAGTTGTTTGTGGATAGTCTTGGTGGATTTATTTCCCATTTATTTTATCCTTTTGTTTTTTACAGGGCAAGTTACCTTGATATATGTTAATGAATAACGAGGCATTCTTGCTAACTTGTTTGATTAAATTCCTTATTTGTTAGGAAAACATCCCGAATCTGTCCTACATAACCGGGTGGTTGAAACATGCAGTCATATATATATATATGATATTATTCTTTTATTTTATTTACTTTCTCTTGTGTTCACATATTTAATTTTTTTTCTTCGTATATTGTTTTCCCTAGTGAAGTGCATGCTTATGACTCCTTGCTTCTTTTGTCAAATTTTCACATTCTTTCTATATTCAGTTGGATTCTCAAAATCCACCTGTGCCTGCGATGGCTGGGGTCAATGCAAGAGCACCTCAAAACAATCCCTGTGTTGGCCAGAAAAAGTTGCTTGAAGCTCTTGGTTCATCACCACCACTTTCAAGGTTAAATATGTTGCTGCATTATAGCCTGCAATGATTATCAAGGTCAATTTACAATCAGTTGATTCCTTTCTATTGTTTAAATTTTTATTTCCAACAGTAAGAAGCCAAAAGTATCTGGAGGCTTTTCAGATCAGAGCATTGAACAACTGAATGATGTAACTGTTGTCAGCGGAGTGAATCTCAGGGTACAATACTTTATGGTCATATCTTTCTAAAATTAACTCATAAGTAGTTATGTAAAGAAACATAAGCCCCAAAATATAAGTCACATCCTTTTGGCGTTCTGCTATCAAATAGGAAGAGGAGGAGCAACTATTTTCCGGCCCCAAGGATGAGAGTCGAGTTTCAGAGGCATCAAGAAGGATTGTTCAAGAGGAAGAAGAAAGAGTTATTTTGCAGAAAATCCCTTTGCAGAAGAAATTGGCTGAAATTAGTTAATTTTCTTTACACCTACCTGGTTTAGTGGTCCTTTTTTACAGTCTGTTTTTCATTATAAGTTGTATCTTTCTTGCTATTTCATATTTTTTATGCTTGTCCTCATGAAGTGGCCAAAAGTGGTTTGAAGAATATAAGCAATGATGTTGAGCGATGCTTGTCCCTGGTAAGAGGCTAGCTTCTTACCCCTTTTTCTTTATAATTCATTAATATATGTCCTTATGCATCCGAATCTGTAGTGTGTGGAGGAAAGAATGCATGGGCTGCTATGCAATTTAATTAGACTATCAAAACAGGTCAGCTTCAATTCCTCTGAATTAACACATATTTTCTTTTATATCTTTCTAATTCGGAATGAATCTCTCATAGCAGGTTGATGTTGAGAAGCCTAGACACCGGACAATTATCACATCAGATGTTCGACAGCAAATTATGATGATGAACCAGAATGCTAGGGAAGAATGGGAGAAAAAGCAAGCTGAGGCAGAGAAGCTGCGGAAACTTAATGATGTGGGTGCTGTTTCTATTTAGAGATATATCTTTAAGGCATTAAAAAATGTACTGAGAGATCAATAATGTGAATGAATGCACCAATAGACATAAGATTGTGGTATAGTATATTTATGCTTAAGATTGTATTTGTCAAATATTCGTGGATGCAGCCTGATGCTGAGACTATAGTTGACGGGGACAAGGAGAAAGATGATGGTCGAGTAAAAGTGGTAAAGGTATTATTGAGGGGTAATTTTCCGAAGTATTTTTTGTTCTTTGATCATCCAAATAAGTAGGTAATGTCCAGGTAAACAAGGAGGAGGATGACAAGATGAGGGCCACTGCTGCAAATGTTGCTGCACGGGCTGCAGTTGGAGGGGATGACATGCTGTCAAAATGGCAACTTATGGCTGAGCAAGCCCGCCAGAAACGCGAGGGGGGAACTGATTCAGCAACAGGTAAAGATGTGAACAGCAAGTCTCTGTCTGCATCTGGAAAGCATACAAGGGACAACCAAGAATCGGAGAAAAGGGGTCCACTCAGTCCTCCTGCATCTGGTAAGCTTGGTTCAGGGCTAGATCTTTTGGTTTACTGTGAATATGGTTGTAAAGTTTATCATGCATACCATTGCATTAGATGGCACTGCCATGAATGAATGCTTGTGTACGACCCAACAAGTTGAAATCAGGTGCCATTATGTTTAATCATATTGATTGGTAGTTAGTAAGTAATGTGATTTACATGAAATTGATTCGAGTCTCGAACTATAAAAACCATGTGTGCAGCAAACCCGACAGCAATAGGAATCATATGCTAAGATATGCTGAGTAACCTGGAATTTGGTTTGTGATCTGAACAAACTTTTTATATGTTAATATCAGCTTTGAACTGTGTAATGCAAATGTACTCGTATAAAATGGCGCTGATTCCTAGATATAATTCTGGTGTCTCTATATTATGATTATGATATTCTTGGCTTAGAATAAAAGTACAGAGTGTCGTCTTCTTCTTTTTAAATAAATCATTCCTGCCCCATGTGTTCCAACTGTATCATCACGTGAGTATTACTTTCTGCTGATTTCTTATGTTACCGAGTTGTTATCTAGATTCCTCCCCAAGGGGAGGATGGTTTCTGTCTTGCCTGCTCTATTTGTTTTGTTTTTCACTCTACTTTCTTGCATCAGGGTCGAGTAGGAAATCTGGCCGGAACCAAGGTATATCAACCTATACGAGTGTGGCCCGTGCCATTTCTGTTAAGGATGTGATTGCTGTTCTGGAAAGAGAGCCCCAAACGTCGAAGTCTACACTGATTTATCGCTTATATGAAAAAACCGGTTCCGAGGCTGCAGCTGAGTGATTCTGATTCACCTTTATACTAAGGTATGATGTCTCAGTGTTTTCCACAAGCTATTTTCTACAGATAATGAAATTTGAGACGTTCATGGCTTTATCTTCAGCTCAATTGTAGGGAATCTTATGAAGAAAACAACCGGATCAGCGACGGTGTTAACCTGATTTTGATGCATTAACCAGTCTTCAGAAGCTGCATGATTTCTTGTTCATTTTTTTTTCTGTAATCAATACGGACTGATTTTTTTTCCGGTGAATTAGATTCGAACAATAAAAGAAAAATATATGATACATTTTCATCCTACGAAAATTAGGAAGTCATTTATGCTGTATTTACAAATTAAAAGCCACATTATCCAATATCAGACACACTACACTTTTCGACTTTACCTTCAAACCAGTTAACCAACTAAAACTATTACATCCAGTCAAAAGTTGTGTTCAACTTTGCCAAATGCCCTCTTCTACATACAATGGGTCATGATGATCTTTTATCTAGTTTGCCAACTTTGGCTCGATACGGTGCAGTAGCCACAGATGATTTTACCGTTGGACCCTGAGAGAATTCACATGCCAATCTTATTTCATCAGGAGGTATGAAACAGTACGCGGACAGGCCTGGAACATTGAATGCCACTTCTTCGATTACCCATGCTTCTTCCATCCTGGTCCGAGTGTGGCTCATTGCAGCATCTCCAAATCGGAAAAGGGTCACCATGCAGCGACCCGAGTGAGCAATCATTATTCCTTCAACAGGTATGTAGTCCTCGAGAAATGAATTGATTGTAGTCTCCCAGTACACAGCGTCTCCACCGTTGTTCTGTATATGGGTTAAATGCAAGTCTTCATAGTGCACAAGAGAGTGCTTCATTTTTTAGAATATTGATCAGTTCCCATCATCGTATTAGAGAATCTGTTGTTATTCGTCGCGGTGACTGCATTTTTCTCTAACTTCCAGTGACCGAACAACGCTTGGATAGTTCTATCCTGAACCCAGTGGGAGGGAGAGCATTGCCACGTATAACAAGGTAAACAATGAATGCCAAATATGCAGCGGTCCATATAGAGATCAGTAGTCCAAACAACAGCCCCTTCACTTTGGAAACAAAGAAATCAAACAAAAGATACCCGTTGATTACTATTACAAGGGCAGCCACAGTCCAGGCAAGTCTCTGCAAAATAACATAAAAATCATCAAATTTAGCTGTTTTTTTTCCTAATGATACATGCAAGCATTCTTTGGATATCTATTAATTCACTTAAGTACCATCAATCGCAGCAGCACAAGCAGATGCAAAACTGTAGACATCAAAAACTAGCTACAAGTTTCCATTTCCGAAACATGGAAATCGGAAAGCTGTCTAAGATTTGATGATCGCAAAATATACTTTGCAAATGAATATACAACTAAATGGAAGTGCCTAAAGAATAGCAATGAACATGTATGTCATAAGGTAATTTAGGATAACCCTCCAACAAATGTCAAGAATACTCCATCACATATGCTTTCTACATATACGCAAGCATACCAAATATCAGCCAGCTTTATTCCTTTCCACTGTGTAGGCCTAGGCCCTAGCCAGTAACAGTGATGACAAAATGAGGGCAACGACCTTCCAGATGAGTAAATGGATACAGAATATCAGTGAAAGGAAATATTAGATGGGTCCTTTGGTTGCAAGTTTTGCATTACTTGTATCAAAACTTGATAAACTATAGGTTTCCATGGTAGAAAATCAATTAAAATTACTTGTGTTTAAAAGACACTGGTAGATATGAAGAGCAATAAAAGTGAGGCAAGCAACTATGGAGATGGGAACATAAACTACTGGCAGTTGACCATGTTTGTTATGATGATCTATTCACAATCAAAATGTCAAGAATATTTATGCTAACATATAAAAAATGACTCGGTTTTCAAACATGATAACTGCAGATACTTCTAGTTATTATAACTAGCAGGCCAAACTAAACTACCAACAATAGTCACTAATGTGAAGCAACATATAGTATAGATAAAATTGAAGACAAGTGAAACAGAAGGCGTACCTCAAGAATAAGCCCAACCCTAAAGACCCCCATGACCAGCTCCTTGGAGACCAAGGTTAGAAGTGGTATGAGTGCAAAAGGAATCTGAATTGACTGAAGTACATTAAGCCATTCATTCAAGGTATCCAAAGAGGCTTCAGATGTATTAAAGACAATTGCTACAATAATTTTCGGCACAATTGCAAAGCTTCGTGTAATCAATGCCCTCAACCACTTCTTCAAACGAAGATTGAGAAAACCTCCCATTATAAATTGGCCAGCATAGGTCCCAGTTATTGTACTGCTTTGTCCAGCTGCTAGCAAACCGATACCCCATATGTAGAGAATTGGAAAGAGTCCTCCACCATACTTCTCCTCAAGATACTGCCCTGCGTTAACTAGTCCTATGCTATTAGCTTGTTTTGTACCATAGAAACCCTTGGCAAAGATCGTTGTCACAAACAAATTGATCATGAAGGAAACCATAAGAGCAATGGATGACTCAATTGAGTAGTAGTTCAGTGCCTCTTGGACTCGGCCTCTCTTCTTCGGATCAATCTTTCTTGATTGTACCAATGCAGAATGCAAGAATACGTTATGAGGCATTATAAAACAACCCACAACTCCCACAGCTTGCCGAATTGTTTTTGAGCCAATTCTAGGAACCAAAATACCTACAACAATGGCAAAAATAAAATGATACTTGAAAAAAAAATATTAGCTTGATACGGACCAATTATTGTTTTTATTTTTAAAAAGAAGCCAAACCTATTAGTAATTCTTTCCCACTGGGTTTTGTATCACCAAACATCCAAGCAAATGATAAAGCCATAGTTGCTATTAAAACAGCAAAAACAGCTTCTAGTTTCCTGACTCCATAATTCTCCATGAATAAAAATATAAAACTGTAGACAGAGAGGGTGTAAAACTTGTTAGAGGTGAAATAAATTAGTACAAGTTTAAATAGAATTTGACTTGACCTTCCCCAGTTAAGTACCAGAAACCCAAACTTCAGATTCAGAATAAACTAAATTTATATTACTCCAGATAAAGGCTTTTACCAATCCGATGCGGTAATTAAGACACCTGCCCATAGCGGCAAAGCTCCTTTACTTAAAATTTGGATAGCTATAGCACTCCCAATAACCTCTTGAATGTCAGCCTCGATAAGCGCCAATTCCGCCACGAACCACAGCACAAAACGAGCCCAAGTCGGATACTCCTCCCGGCAGAGTTCCGCTAGATGCCTGCCAGTAACCACCCCGAGCCGAGTCGATAACAACTGGATCAGAAGGCCCATGACGGTAGCTCACATCAACAACCAAAGCAGAGAGTAACCCGCAATTGCGCCAGCCTGTAGATCACCTTCCAAATTCCTCGGATCTAAAAACGCTATACTCATAAAAAAAACCCGGTCCAGTAAACATCCATAGCTTCTTCCAGGAAAAAGGAGGGACGTAATCGACGTTTCCGATGGATTCCGGGGTTTCCAAGTCGACTATGACGATTTTCTCTCGGGATTCGAATGTGACCTCGTTTTCATCATCGAACGACGGGGAGGAAGGAGGTTGGGATGCTAGGAGGCGTTTGGATTCGGATTCCTCGGTGGTGTCTTGGTCCTTGTCCGGTTCTTCTTTCAAAGACTCCTCCTCTCGGGTTGGGTAATTCATCGTAGAGGTGAATTGTATTAGCTTGTGTAGCTGCCGCCGGTACTCTTCTGTTCAAGTGGTAAGCTTTACCATCGAATGTGGTAAGGCGTTGAAACTTATATCGGCATAAATTAAATGAAATTAAATACTCTATTCAAGCCAGCTACGACCATCTCGTATTAGATCAGGTTAGGATTATTTTTATATTTTATATTAAATGTCGTTTTAACTGTAATTATATCTAATTTTTAACTACTTCCTTATAATTAGTTTATAATCCAAAACATTTTGACTACGGTGGCTCTGTTTTGGTGTTGTTCGTAGGTTGCCGATATTTGTTTATATATTATTATATCAGTGTGTCACATGACATTTTTACAAAATGTTGAGTTAGATTAACATGCATTACGGTTGAATAACTTAAGGACTAAACTGAATAAAAAATTTCTCCAAGTACCAATGTAATAACGAGGTACAATTTCAGGAGTCGAAATATATTTAACCTTTGTAAAAATTTATATAAAATTATGAAAAAAATATTACTCGCTTCGCCCCACTAAATGTGTCTCTTTTAATTTTTAAAATTATTTTATTCAAAATGTCATATTAAAAAAGTCAACAAACAACAAAACTTACATTTTATTTTTTATCCTTATATCCCATTATTTGATACATATCAAAATAAATCTGTTAAATCTATAAATTACTTTTTAGGGATCATTTTGTCATTTCTACTGATCAAATATATCTCCTAAAACTATTTGCATAGTCATTATTTAATATCGGGACATAAATAATGGGACGGAGGAAGTATTAGAATAGTATTCATTTAAAATAACTGTATTTTTATTTTTTACCACTAAATTAAGACTTAATTAACTAATGACGCCAACTCAATTAAATATTGTATAATATAGTATTTATATTTTTTTTATCAAATATGTTAATGAAAATATATCAAAATCTTTTTGATTGAGCATTAGTTTAGTTAATCTCGTTGCTAATGTAACATTTAAAAATTTGTGGTTTAAGTATACTTAAATATAATTGTCTCTGATTTAAAGAATAAGGTTATAAATAGTTTTTTTTATTAAATAAGATTATAAATAGTTTAGATATTATAAATTTTAATTTAATATATAACCGGGGCGGATGCATTAAGCCTTCTAGGGGTTAAGTGCATCCCATTATATAAGAAAAAATATGAAATTTAGTTTAATATATTAAGAAAAAATAAAAAAATTACATACCAATTATTTAAAAAAAGAATATTAAAATATTAGACCATATTTTTAAATTTATGGATCCGATACTAATATATAAGTATATATATAAAAATTTTAAATATGAATTTTGATGAATTCGTTTTCTAAAGTGGGACCTTTGCACGATCATGTTGATGTTTTGATGTGAAGCTGAAGAAAAAGGCGTGTGGA